AGCAGTACAGCAATTGCCATATAGCTCCACTTGTTTCATGCGTATAAATTGCTTTATTATAACTATGCAGGGAGTTTTACAGTTTATATGGACACTGCAATGTAAATAGAGCAGAAAAACAGAAAAAGAAAAAGGAAAAAACAAAAAAAAAGAGAAAAGATGAAAGAAAGAAGAGATAGAAAGGAGACAATGACAAAACATGACATGAACTTTTTAACAAACTCAGTGCGTTCTGAGAGGTCACCCAAGTTTTCCTTAAAAAATTAGAAATTAAAATAAAAAAAGCAATTAAAAAATAAAACTTTTAATCAAACAAAAAAGTTTTGAGAGAAACTTTTTGCTCTTTGTTTTGAATTTGTTAATCGAATTTTTTCTTTGTAAATAAATTTTTCACTTTTTTCTAATTTTATTTTTTCAGAATTATTTTAAATGGCTTATATTTTAACGTTTTTTATCCTTTTTTTTTTTTTTTTTTTTTACAGAGTTTATATTTTCTAAACTTTGATAGGATAACATTATAACTGTAAAAGAAAAGGCATTAATAAAATGTGGGGAAATAAAAATTCAAATATTTTTTATCTGGGAAATTTTTTTTTATAAAATAATCACAACATTTCTTTGTATGAAATCTGACAAAACAAACCAGCAAATTTACCATCAGAACCTTATTTTTCTTATCGTGTTTTCAAGGTTTCAATTCTGGTGTCCATTTTGTCAAAATTCAACTCACGGAATGTCTTCTTTGCTATTTGTTTGCAAAACTAATGGAACAAAATTCATTCCATAGTTTATTTTATAAAAAGTGTTAATTTTCATGTGGTTTTAGAAGTGCATCCAGAAAGAGCTTGGTAAAAGCTATGAGGCCCAGGCGCCTCCAGGGGGCAGTATCTTTTCCAACCAACACATTCTTTGCAGTTTTTGAGACGCTGCAAACCCTGATACATTGAGAGATGATTTTATACCATGCAGCTCTGATTTAAACAAAGATAGGGATGTATAATATGTATAACAGATGTTTACTCTACAAGTTTCTTAAAAAAACAAACATTAAACTTGCTGTATGTTGGGGAGAGACAAGGATCCACACTGAAAAATTGGCATTTAGGTTAAAGCAGTCTGAGAAAAATGCTTGGGAAGCAAGAGAATCGACCCCAGAGCACCAACCACGAAGATGACGAGTCACAGATGTGTCCTCTGACTGCCTTTGTCTCATCAGAACAAAGAACCGTCTTCCATCCTTTCCAGGTGAGATTTAATAGAAGCTCACTTTAACGATTTCCTTCTCTTTAATCCTTCCTTCCACTTTTTACAGCATGTCTGAGCTAGAGATAGACAGTACTTTGGCCAGACGACATTTCATGCCGATATTAGCGTTTGTTTTTCCCTGCATAGGCTGAAACACGCACACTTGGCGGCGGATTCATCAATGCATTCAGCAGCCATGCCTAGAGATCACCTTAAGCACACTCATTGCTGCTCCATCTATTAACCTCCCATAGGTAGCTCTTTGCTGAGCTTCAACTCTTTTTATGTAATTCGATATTGTAATATGTGGAGAAACACTGAATAAAAACTCAAAAAATATCAAAGCTCTTCTTTAACCAACTAAAAAACCCTCTTATAAAAAATTGTTATAAATTTAAGTTGTTGAGAGGTTTAACCGATAAGAAACGAGCAGTATTATCTGATCAACTGTCTGACTGGAAAACTCTTCCCCAAACTCAGTTTTAG